TCCAGTGAGGACATGGAAGAACTTGTGACATATAATGGGTCGACAGCAACCCAAACTGACCAATTCTTCTGCATTGCTCTCGATTCTTCACCTACCTTTATGATCAGCCTGAAAGTTCCCAACATACTGCCTCTGCCTGCTGAAAGCATGGAAGCAGAAAGGCAAATGCACTCTTACTACTCAGAAGTAGGAGGTGTGATCCCACACACTTCTTTGTCTTCTCTGTACTGAGTGTTTCCTCTTGACCTAACAGCTCTTTATTCGATGCATTATCTTTAATGGAAGCTTCTGTGAGATGGCTGTCTCCCTCCATTAACTGCAGTAACAGCATGGAGGAGCTTTTCTTCAACCTTATCTAATCACTGGACCAGCTGACCCTTTGCAAGAAACATACAGCTCATTTTATACCCCACTATTGCTTAAGGATAGATGATGCATGAGTAGCATGGATTGGTAAAATGTCCAAATACGAATATTTTACAAAACTGTAAGTCAGTGCTTATGATTGCAAAACTTATAATTAAGGAATACAGTAAAAAAATAACAATTTAATCAATTTAAAATTTAATTAAACCAGCATAACTGATAATTGTCTGCAGGTGGGTTTCTGTGGTAGAGTTGCTGTCTTTTCATGGACTGACAGCCACATGTAGACCACAGGCTGAGTAACTGGGATCTGAATCTCCTTTCTAAGACTAAGCAACATCTTGTAAGTACTGCAATGCCCAACCTTACAGGCAGTTTGGCTGTCTGTAACACTGATAGCAGCATCGAGGATCTGGAAGGCAATGCACCATTATTCAGAACATTTAAGCTCTTGGCTGTTTAACTGTTTTGGATAGCACCTAAGTCTGTACTTTTGTTCCATCCTCCTACATCCATCCCAAATTCTTAAAACAAAGCCCAAACCCAACGGCCAACTCTCACTAATACACTGCTCAAAAACCAATCTGATGACACAAGATTAAATTCATGTATGGAAGTACATTAATAGAGTGACATTGAGTGGATCCCCTAAAAGGAAAGTACTGCATTAAGGCAGCTGCAAAGGTCAAGCCCCTTAGTTATTTCCACAACTTCTAGTCTGGTAAACACCCTCCCTTACCAAACCAGGACTGGTAACATCTGCGTTGTACGGTTGTACATTCAGGAAAGCCTTCCCCACTGGGGCTAAGAGCATTTCCACCACATCTGTGCTCGTGCAGGGAATATGTGGGTCACAGTTGACAAAGCAGCAGGCAGCGTTATCCCCTGCAGTGTGATCCTCACGCTCACATTTCACATGAAGGGCAAAGCAAATGTCGCACCTGCGCTGGATGCTCCTCTGTCAGTTACTGTCACCAACAGGTTCTGTCTCCTCAGCAAAGCCACAGTGGCACATCAGGCTGGAAGCCACCAGGACCAGGGAATCTTTGTGTGAGAGATCAGCAGTGCAAGATGTGTTTCCAAGAGATTACACCACCTTATGGTACAGGTAATCATTCTTGGTAAATTCCGCTTGCATTGCAGGTGGTTCACCCTTCCCACTTCCCAGTACATGAAAGAGAGGACCACAGAAGCTCATCCCACAGCCTCAGGAGGATGCCAGGAGCACGCTAGGCCTACTGCTGGATATTGTTTTGTTCAGACCTACCTACTTCCAGCCAGCAGCCAGATGAAAGGATGCTTCTCATAGATTCCCAAATCCCTGTTACTTCCCCATAGAGCTGGGAATTCCCAGGGAACGTATCTGAGGCTGCCACAAACAATTTCATAAACATTTGCAATGAGCTTTCAATGGCAGGAACTCAAATCCGTGAGCCACACTGTCATCTCTGCTATCGATGACCTGTCAGTAGAAATGAGGTTAGATCAGACATCTCCTTCCTTGGCGATGTGTTCCACACAGAAAGGCTTTCAAGAGGCAATGGGACATGCCAAGCTTCCAGAAACTTGCCCTTTTGTTCTTTATTATCCCCCTTCTTTATTGGAAAAGCATTTCCATGTTAATACAGTGGGCTTAATTTATATATTTCACTTTTAATTTTAAAATATTTTTAGACAACAGCCTAACGTATCTAGGAAGTCTCTAAGCACCTACAATTGCTGTAGCCAGATCGGACTCTGATAATGAAAACAGATCCCAAGTCCTTCTGCTAGAGTGTTCCCTACCACCTGAAGTGAAAAGAACCTCCTTTGCAATTATCGGCAGTAAGCTGGAGATGGGAGGACATGCCGCTGCTCCCTTCTAGTCAGTCTCAAGGAAGACAAATTCAGCACAGTTCACTTCACTTCACAGCTGAGGAAACTGAAATACAGACGTGCCAGGATGTCCTTTGAGATGTACTCAGAGATGATGAATAAATAAGGGCTGGTAATTAACTCATGATGAGGTCCCATTCCAGTTACTGTCAGAAACAAAGCAACAAAGACTCCAAGATGCAACAGTCACAACTACGGTGATTCCAGACATCCCTTGGTGAAAAAGTCAGCTGCCTGACTGCATGTGGAAGGGGCAGATTGCTCACTGGCCTCCTTCAGCATCATTTTGGAAATAGAAGTCGCCAGGACAGAAGCAGTAATGATCAAATCACAGGCATGATTGTTTGAAACTGCCACAGTGCTCTGCTGAGGGAATGCATGTCCCATCCCCAAATGTAAAAATGCACTGAATCGCATACCCACTAATTAAAGATGACCGAGCACAGATAAGCAACGGGGCTAATAAAGGTGACAAAGCATTCAAGAGCCAAAGCAAGGGTTTGCTCTTGGTTTTAGAACCCTTACTATTAGCTGAGTCATATTGGTAAATCCCACATAGACCTAAAAGCAGAAAGCAAGATTCACAAAATGATTAAATCACACTGTGACATTTTCCCTCATAATCCTTATCAGCTAACAAGATTCAAAGGGGAGGGGGAGGGGAAGGAGGAAAGCTGAATAGGCACAAAAAAGAAAAAAGCCTAAACCAGGTGGCCATTCTACTTAGAGCACAGCTATCTGTACTGATGGATGAGTTGACAATTCATAATCAGATGAGGAAATCAGATTACACAGTTTAGATCTTTGTAATGATCCTAATCTGTATATTGAGGAGTCAGCAGCCACATACCAGTTAACCTGAGCAGGTTCAGGTTGTGCTGTGCTATGCCACAGGTACAGTTTGGCCTTCTGGCCCACGATGTGCTGCACTAATCCCTTGGCTGCAGGATAAACTTTGCTGGCTAACTGTAACACAGCAGCCTGGAGGAAGCTCACAGCAGTCAGCAGCAGTTACACCACCTGCCTGTCCTTGTCGTCATACAAAATACAGCAACAAGTTCTCCTGTGTATATCCCTGTCATTTGTCAGTAGAAATGATAAACAGAATTGCCTTTTATTTTTTTAAGCAATCTCTATAACTGCTCTGAAGACCAAAACATCAGGTCACCTCCCCCAGGCAGATCTGCATGGTGCTCTGCACCCAGCCAGAAGGGCTGGTCCACATCACACATCGCCCAGCATCTGCAGGGACATAAGATTACCAATGTTCTCCTCTCTTTCTTTACAATGCTAGCCCCAGTAAACTGCATCTTAAGCAATATTCTATGGCATTATGATGTTGCTGGGATCATAACAAACCCACACCTTTCTGGTGCAGAGCATTCTTAAAGGACGGATTATATGTTAAGTGGCGGTGCAAAGACAGTGGTGACCAAGGCTAGCTTGTACAAGATTTCCTTATGTTACTGTTTTTTAATTATTACTATGACTAATATTTAAATAGCACGTTCAAATTATCATTTGCCATTAACACTCTAGCATAAGGAATAACTGGTACCACCCACTACACATGATTCCATTCTGTGACACGCTGCTCACACAAAGCGAAGGGAACGGGAAGGTCTGTATGCTCAGCTAATTACCTGAATGCAATGCCAAGGGCTCTGTGTGCTGCCCCTATCCTACCCCAGTCCACGTGCCTAAGATGAAATCACCTGTATATGTGTATGCCAATGCAAGCAAAATTACCATCTCTCATTTGACATTCCTTGTTCTTGAAGATTATTTGGATTACACAATGATTATTTTAAAAGCAAAAGTCGGTCCAGAAGAAAGGAAAGAAAAGCAGCCTCAGACAATACAGGCTACAGCTTGCACTGCTTTAAGAGATACTTGTAGTTATACCATTCAAATTAAATCTCTTCAATGCTAACATGCTTTCTTCGAATGAAGTGCAAACCCACCAACGCTAGCAACAACTGCAGCTGAATCCAGCTCATAAACCTCTGGGGGCTACATTCAACTCTAGAACCCTCCAAATCCTTCATACCCAACAGCCCCCCAACATCTTTATGATATATAGAGATAGCTAAGATCAAGTCGAGTTTTTCTTTTTATGTCTCATCTCAAAATGCAAGAAATGAGATCATGAAAATGCCTTAATGGAACCATGCTGATGGTGCAACCTCATGGCATGTTTCTCACAGACAAAGAAAGTGACAGGCCTTTCCAGATCTTCCTCCACACCTTCAGAGCATGGGAGATGTTCTCCTGAGCTCCAAGCTCTATGTACAGAGAAAACCCCGAACAATCTGTGTGGTTCAGCACCGCAGACTCCAGCAGCCACACCGCTCAGATGGCAGCGTGTGCCACAGCGGCCATCCCGCTGCCCCACCTTCGGCATCACCTCACCTCCTCATGCATTTTCCGAGCGTCATCCAAAACGTCTTTTCCTCCCGAATCTCTCTCCAGGAGGGGCAGCTGGGGCGAAATATCTCGGCAGGTTGGGGAAGACATCTCCCTGTCGCCCCGACAGCGTTTGCAGGGAATTTGTGCCCGCACCAGGGCGCGGACGAGCCGGAGGACAGGGACACGGAGCCGCACGCTTCCCCTCCCAGGCTGGGGGTCCTCAGGGCCGCCCGATCTCGCTTACAAAGCCCCGTTCCCCCGGTGAAGCAGCGACCGGCGGGGCCGCGCTCTCCCGCAGCCGCTCACCCCGTCACCTTGCCGTGACAGCTCCGCAGCGTTCCGCAACCCACCCGTAATATCCCCGCGTTGCGAATCGCCGGCGGCTACTCACACCACTAGCCTGGAGATGATCCATGACACCATGGCTCCGCTGGCTCTGCCGGCACGGAGGGCTCGCCCCCGTCTCCTCGCCCGCCGCCGGCCGCCGCCCGAGTGAGCGGGGCGGGCGGCTCGGCCATCCGGCCCCGCAGCCTCAGCGCAGCCTCACTGGCGGCACCGCCGGCAGCCAACGCGCAGCCGGCCTCGGCCGCGGAGATTGGGCAGAGCCCGGGGCCCCGCCGCCGCCCCCCGCGGGACTCGGGGCTGCGGAAGGAGGAGCCCGAGCCCCCGCCGCGTTGGTCCCGCCGGGCTGCCCCCGCCTCGCTGCCGGAGACGGGGAGCCCCGGTGCGAGGGCGGCGAGGGGCAGCCAGGGCGGGGTGCCCGGGCGGCTTTCGGACGTCCCCGAGGAGAACACCCCCGATCCAGCCTCTCTGGCTCCTGTGCCAGCACAGAGGTGCAGAGGGGAGCCCCTGGGCTCCAGGTTGTGCCCCAGCCTTTGAGCCTGACCCCGTCCTCTGCACCTTTCCATAGCGATTTATGGCTGTGGGTGAGAAGCCCTAAGTCCCCTCTGCTGCATGCTGAGCAGCCCCAGTTCCGTCAGCCTTTCCTTACAGCCATCTCAGTGCTCTCCACCCTTGCAGGATGTCCAGGTCTCTGTTGTACCGGGGATGCAGAACTGGACAAAGTACACAATACAAAGAAAACCCTACTGACTGCTCCTACCCAGCTAAAGCATGGTGCTGATGGGCTCCTTGGACACACAGCAAGAGACAGCTCTCCCCCCACACCTTAAAGTTAACAGGCACAGCTGGTAAACATTAGCCCAGCCAACAACCCATAACTGCCAGGTAACAGCCAGCACTCTCTCCTGTCAGTTACTTTTTATCAGGACATCTCACACAGCTGTGAAGCCCGATTTCCACAAGGAACGTCTGCCCACACACAGATCAAAAGATATTAGCTGAACCCAAATGGTTATACTGAACTGTTTCCTTCTGGCTCTGCTTTTCCCTTGCTACGCTGGCACAGTTTGTTTCAGTTATAACTAGTTGGTCAGAAAGCACCTTCCACTGCTTTGATTTTTTTCTTCTATCAGAAGGAACATCCCCGTGGGAATTCTTGATGCATTTTACAGTCTTGTAGCGATCCTTGGATCTTGACACCATGAGAACAGCCCCAAGCTTCCTCTGGAGGATGCTTCACAGAGCAGTTGGCCTGGTGTCACACATTTGGGCTGGGGATGCAGCTACCACAGCTGCACTGCAGGATCCCTGCCTCCAAGCCCAACACATTGCTCTTTCCTAGGACAGTGCACCTGCACCAATCTTTCCCCATCATTCTGAGGGAGCACAGCTGGAAGTGACTGAAATTCCTTTGTACATCATGAGTAAACTGCAAGGAACTGTTCCAGGGAGAGAATGAACGTTTCAAACTGGAGGTAGCAGAGCTGGGAGTTGATCAGAGGTTTCATCAACCCCAAGTGCCACAGAAATTCTCACACCTCCATCCACCTCCACAGGGGGAAATCCACCACACAACATCCAGCCCTTACCTAACAGCTTCTCACAGCTCGATGTCCTCCAAAATAGATATCTCACCTTGTATCACGTAGGCTCTTTCATCCTGATTCCCAGAAGATCTAGAACACCTCTAAAACATAAAGAGCAGGTATAGACACGTTTAATATTCAGCATCTCCAAAAATGGTCTTCTAGATGGAGCTTTAAAGAGAGTTCAGCACCCACCTCCTCTACTCTCTGTAGTGGGTCTGTTCCTCCACCAGAGGGAACTTCCACCTCACTCTGGGACCTGGCCCAGGCTGCCACCTCCTTGTCCTCATCATTGGGTAACAGCATCATTTCCAGTACAACACTGATTACAGACAAGCTGTGAACCACAGTTGGGTGTTTGGGGCCAACAACAGTCTTGCCTCTGGGACTGCAACAGCATACAGCAGAAATATTGCTTCAGACAGCAGTTTTACTGCTGTGCAGGCATCACAAAGACAGCACTGGTTGGGCTGTTGCTATCAGTGAGTGTAAATTAGTCATCTTCTCCAGAGAAGATTGTTCTCTGGAAGAAATCCCTTCTCTCCAGAAGAAGCCATTAGGCCACCAAGCCCAAACTCTAAGGCACTGAATCATTCTGTAGCTGACTTGCTTGTATGTTTTAGCTGAATAGGTTCTCAGAACCCTGTTATCAGAGATTTTTTTAAGTATTAGGATTATTTAGCATGAGATTTTAGACTGGATGTTGGCAGACACTCTGTAACACTGTCACAGTTAATGCTGTGATAACATCAAGTTTATGACACAGATCTCTGTGCACAAATATTTGTGGGGTCACTGCAGTGAAGAGAACTTGTCACTGAATGCCTGCCACAGATTTCAAGCATAGAGAAATAAATCAGTGAGATCATACAGGATCATAAAGAGACAGAACACGGGACAACACAAGCTGCAGCCAAACAACCTCATGTCTTCTTGGGTCCTTCCAGCCTCCTCCAGCTTACCATGTTCCCTACAACTCCTGCTCATCACTACCACTGCTTCCATTCTGTTTTGTGGGCAGAAATGGACAGAAAGGCTTAAAGATATTTTCTCCTGTTCCACAGCTTTCTCTGATTGGGGTAAACAGAGCACAGACTTCTCTTGTGCTGCCCATTTGGACACAGCTGACACAATTACTACCTGATAGCTGTTGACTGACAACAGGCCTCAAACAAATGCACACAGATGGGTAAAAAAGGAGGTCTGGTGATGGAAAACCAACTAAGTCTGTTGTCAGTGGGAATGCAGGGAACTTTATTTTAGTGGTTATTGGTAAACAGAGGGTAAAGGGGAGCAATTCAACTCTACTGAGTCATTAGTAGAAGGGTGACAATGCCCCCTATCTTCTCTTTATGGGCTCTGTCAGGATATCAGTCACAGCCCCATGGCTGTACACTGTGTATATCCCAAGCAACCTGGATTTGCTTGATTAAAGACTTTCCTTTGCTATTAAGTAGCATGACGTAGTCTATAAAGAAATAATGAAGAGACACAAAAAGAGTTAAAGCTATAGGGACAGATATGAATTAATCTACACAGCCAGCTGAGCAGAGATGTCACTTGATGCTAATGGAACATTTTGGAGCAGCTTTAGCAGTAGAAGAAAGACAAGCAGTAAAAATCCTAGGCAGATTGAATGTTGAATGGTTTCATCTCTATTAGCCAAATAAAATAACAAAACAGTTTTGTTTGGGTAGGGAGAGCCACCATCCATGCCCTAAAAACTATCACAGCCTGATCAGAAAACAGATGTTCTGCAACACATCAAGAATCCCATGCATATATGCCCCTACAGATACATGCACCTGGCTTTTTGGACACCGATGATGGAGGATGATGATGGAGATGTTTTCTTCTCAGTGTTCTCTTAGATTTACTTCCTGACACTTATGGACACGTAGAGCAAAATTCCAAGATGAATGCAGCTCCTCCATACAATGAAAAATGCCAATTTCTAAATGCCATTTCTAAAACCACACTAACAGATATGGACTAGGTATGAAAAGGTTAATAACATTCTATGGAGAGTGTTGTTAAAGCATGAAGAGACAGACAGCATTTCCTGGCTGTCATTTCCAGCCTTATGATTGAATTACTTGCTTTAGAGCTACAGCCATTAGCAAAAGGAGATTAAGAAAAGCCTATCTGACTGAAAAGTTATGTGGTCTGGCATTGGAGCTGGGATCTGTGGCTGCTAAGAACCATTCTTCATCCTCAGTGACTCACTATGAGAGCTTGGGAAAAACATGGAGACCAGCACATCTGAATGTATAATTTGGCGTTGGGTTACCAAAACGGGACAGCTTGGCCACATTTAGTCCAATGTGAAACTCCACAGCACAAAGATCAGTGAGTGATACTCAGTATCTCCAAATACTAAGCCCCGAATGCCACAAGTTAGGCATCAGGAGAGTCTTCTGAGAAGTCAGTTCTTTGTTTCCCACATCATCTCTGGTAACTCAGGTGCTACATGTTTTCCCTGCCTTGGAATGTCTCCATGTGTCCCAGATTAATTCATCAGTGTCTGAAGCATCCGCAGGCCCAGCAGCTCCGTGGGAAACCATCCCGTTTAACATGTTTTCCATTCTACCATTTCAGGATGAAATGCTTGGATTACAGTGTTTTATAAATTGATGGGAAAGGACTGCACCTTACACTGGAACTCACTCTTTTTGCCTGGAATTCCAACAAGGACATTATTAAGTTACCACTATTCTTACAGTATTTCTGACAATCAAATTAGCCTATATGCTACCTACTGTCATCTTTCTACCTCAACCCAGTCACATGCAACCAGTAGGTGCACTCCATATATCTGAATGATCTTCCTGTCAATCCTTAACGCTCAGTGTGGACAGCTTACAGCAGAAATGTAATCAGAAAGGCAACAGATTGACAAAATATTACATATCATGTATGAGCAAAGAAAACAATCTGAAAACTGAGTGTTGGAAGGGAGATGTGGATCAAAGTATATTCTCTTTGCCATGTGCCATACAACTCCTTATTCTTATGAAGCACTTGCCATGTCACTGCCAGATGAGAACAAACTTCACAAAGACTACCAGCAGAGGAAGACATGCTGCTCAGACATCTCACTTCGATGTTTGGAGGTTCAGACTTCACCATCTTCCTATTGAGACTTTTATATCCCATTAACACAAAACTTCACTGAGGCACCATGCAGATGGGAATGTTGAAGATAACCAAAAGCTGTAAATAAGGAATGAAAAGGGCCCCTCTCATGGCTAGAAGAGACAAGGTTTCCTTTAAGGAAACAGAGAGGAACGTGAGGGAGGCAATGGACAGCCCTGGTTATCCTAGGCGGAAGCTGAAGGACTGCTGCAGACTGGTCTTCACAGCTTCTGGAGGCAGGCTGTCTTCATGGATTGATGCATTAAAAAAATTGAAGGCTGTAAGAGCAGAAAGCAAAGTGGAGTTTTTCACCATCCTTTGCTGAATGGCCTTTAACCAACCAATGCAGCATAGCAGGCAGTGCTCTATTTAGCAGTATCCTGTGCATAGGTGAAATTACTTAGCAATTTCTAGA